ATGGTCTCGATCTCTTGACCTCGTGATCCACCCGCCTCGGCCTCCCAAAGTGCTGGGATTACAGGCTTGAGCCACCGCGCCCGGCCCTAATTGTTTCTTATTAGTGGGTTCATTCATTCATTAATTTAAATACTTATAGAGCACCCACTCTGTACTAAGCCCTGGGGTAGTGGCTGGAGATACAATGATGAGCAAAATACGCTACCTGTTTTTGTTTTTGTTTTTTTTTTTGAGACAGAGTTTCACTCTGTTTGCCAAGCTGGAGTGCAATGGTGTGATCTCTGCTCACCACAACCTCCGCCTCCCAGGTTCAAGCAATTCTCCTGCCTCCGCCTCCCGAGTAGCTGGGATTACAGATATGTGCCACCATCCTGGCTAGTTTTGTAATTTTGTTTTCTTTTAAAGAACGGGGTCTCACTATATTGCCCAGGCAGGTCTCGAACTCCTGGGCTCAAGCTATCCTCCCGTCTCTGCCTCCCTGAGAGCTGGAATTACAGGCGTGAGCCACAGCGCCCGGCCTAATTTTGTATTTTTAGTAGAGATGGTGTTTATTCATGTTGGTCAAGCTGGTCTCCAACTCCTGACCTCAGGTGATCCACCCACCTCGGCCTTCCAAAATGCTGGGATTACAAGCGTGAGCCACCATGCCCCACCACCTGTTTCTAAGGAGCTTATGTTCTTGTGGGGCAGACAGACAAGAAACAATCACATGTGGCAGGGCTGTGAAGACCGACAGGATGGACAAGCACATGAGCTATAAATATACAGAGTAACGTAGTGCCTGAACGAGCCCAAGGTAACGGGAAAGGCTCCTAGCAGAAGCGACATTTAATCTGAAATCTGAAAGATAAAAGAGTAGCCAGTTAATAAGGAAAGGGAAAAACCTTCCAAGCAGAGGAAACTGTATGTGCAAAGGCATGGAGGCCAGAGAGCTCAAGCTGTGTTCAAGAACTGAAGGGTATCCAGTGCAGCAAATGTGGGTTGGGGAGAGCAAAGAAATGAGGTTTGGGCCAGGTGCAATGGCTCATGCCTGTATCTCAGTACTTCGGGAGGCCGAGGTGGGCGAATCACTTGAAGTCAGAAGTTTGAGATCAGCCTCGCCAACAGGATTAAACCCCATCTCAGGCCGGGCACGGTGGCTCAAGCCTGTAATCCCAGCACTTTGGGAGGCCGAGGCGGGTGGATCATGAGGTCAAGAGATCGAGACCATCCTGGTCAACATAGTGAAACCCCGTCTCTA